AGGATCCTAAACTTGTTCCGCAAAATGAAAATTAATTCATAGGAAGGATTGTCATCAGCGATAAATTTGTGAGATAGTTTTATAATTGATTAAAAATTTTTGATTCAAATTACAATTGTTAAAATTTAGATATGGATAATTCTCAGTTCTTATCTTGAAAATAAATACAAGATTAGCAACATTAGTTCATTTTTATCACCTATGGGATGAAGAATTCAGTTTTGAACCTTCAGATCAAGCCTTATTATCATCTCTGGAGGTGAACTCAATATGTAAAAGCTATATGTTTGACACTTATCTGAATGCCTTTGATAATTTAATAAACTAAAAATTAGTGCATATAATTTTTGAAACCTTTATTGTAATGATATCATAATCGAAGATAGGAAAATCGATTACGATTACATTTTTGAGGCATCTGAGCAACGCAAACCCATAACCCTCTTGATACTATCTTCTTAGGGTTTGATGATCTTGAATTCATTTTCAGTAGCTGTCAAATCTCTGTAAATCGCTGTGAAGAACGTTAAAGTAAGGAAGCTATTTTTAGATAATCGAAAATGGAAACAAATAAATTAAGAATCTAAAAAAGAGCACTTGGAGATTAATGGTATCGTAAAGATAAAAATTGCAAGTAACTTATTATTGAAGTGGTTTAGTAAGTTTAAAACTTAAAAGAGTTAAGAAAGAAAATTTTTTTGAGTTAGTTTTTGCGGTTGGGTCGAATATGAATTTCTGAATCAATTTAAATATATGCATACTGAAGTTTTTTTTTTTGACTCAATGAAATAATTTAATAAACTTCGTTTTAAACTTGTTTGTGTTGCTTGTTGATCTTAATATCAGGTTGTGCTAAATTAATTTTTTTAATCATCCTATTTCAAATTTTAGATTATTTTTGAATATCGTTTGGTCAAAATTTCTTAAGGAGCTTAAAGATCATTACAAATTTAATATTTCTATATGTTTAAATGATAAACTTCAATTCACTAAGAAGATGTTACTTTTTAAATAAGAGATAATTCATACAAAATTAAATGAATTTCAGGGTAATATTAACTAAGACTGCTATAATAAGGGTTTTAAGGAGATGTAGGCAGAACTAAAAAGATTATTGAGAATATCTCTTAAAACTACAAATAAAACTAAGAAGAGAGCTTGATTAGATTAATTAAAAAGTAGAGAATTCAAAAAATGGTAATTTTGTCACAAAAAATCAAATTTTAGAAAAATTTCAAATATAAATCTAAAAAATTTACGACACTACGTAGTCAAATCTCTAATAGGAATTTCTAGTTCAAACGGATTTTCATTTGTAAAGGTATAATTTCTCAATTCTATATTTAATATCTCTCTCGATGATGATGATGAAGGTAGTATGCTAAAAGTAGCAAAGGTTGGCTTCTAATCTATTTTATTCCTCTAGTTATGCGAATATTAACTTATAAAAATGCAATTCTTTAAATATGACCTTAGCAAACAGAGGCTATGTTGTTTATTATAATTTTAACTTTTATTTTATTTCTAACAAGTGTCCTTAGTGGATTAAGACCATTATATCTTTCTTAAAATATATTCAAATCAATTTATGTTGACTGGCTAAATAATACCTAAAATTACTTGAGAAAAATTGTGTTTAAAAAAAACTAAACAATAATTTAAGATATTATAAATCTTAAAGATCCTTATATTACAACTTGCAATTTTAATTATCACAAGTATGAGATATGGAAGGCAAATAATTTCATTATATGTGACTTTATATTATTCTTGATTAATATAATATGGAGTTAAATTATTTGCATTGAGATTTAATTTTTATTAATAATGCAAGAAGTGTCAAGAATTATAATGATATATAGCACAATACTTTAAATACTAAACGAATAAAGAAGTTATAATTTTAATATTCATATCGATGATGATTTCTAATTTAGATTAGATACAAAATATGAGTTATTCAATATTTGTATTTCAACTTCTATCGAGATCAATTATTCAGCATTGTATCCCTTAATTTAAGTTGTTCTTAATGAAAAGTATTGTTATTATTTTAGTTCCTTCACTATTCCTTATTGGCCAACTATTTCCTTTTCATTATAAAAATTAACTGCAAATTACTAAATACTATAATTGATGAAATGTCTAAATTGAACAAATCAGAATTCACATTCACAATTCTCTATTATGGGAATTTTCAACTTTCCGTTTGATAATCTCACTTAAATAGTAGCTCTAAAATATTCTTATTAGATTCCAAAGAAATTTGACTATAAATTCTAACATAAACTAAATTAGAAGGGTAAATTTTTAGAAATAATGTTTATTAATATTTTATGATTGCAATAGTGGTTTTCAAATGCTTCTCTGCTTCTCTATTTGTCATGATGAAAGATATACCAATCTATTTTATAATAGTAGCCTGAGAAAGCTGAGTGAATAAAAATTATTTAATATCTTGATTGAGTCCTTCATCGTCTGTCTGTATGATATTTTAATTGAATTGGGCTCAACTTTTCTGTCTTGAACTATGCAAAGATAGATAATTCAACAACTTCCTCTGAGTGGCTTGACTCAGTTGGGTCATCAGCCCCCATTTTTAAACTTCACT